TGTACCAGAGTGATCTGTGGTAGTGTTCTCTGACCTGTACTATTGCCCTGTACCTGCACAAGTGACCTGTATCATATTAGTAAGGTGACGGCAAAGATACACAAACATACACACATATACACATACTGCACACACAACAGTCACACATACATACACATAAACAAAGTCAAACGTAGGAATTTAACATCAATAAACCAAAAGCGTTCAGGAAGTAGGCAGAAAAGGAGGGGGAGGAAAGTGAGGAGAAAGCAAGGAAGTGAGGACAAAGAAGGAGGAAGGCGAAGAGGAAGACGGTTAAATAAGAGGTTAGAGAAAGAGGAAAAGGGTGAAATAGGATGTTGAAGAAGAAGGAAGAGCAGGAAGGAGCAAGAAGGAGGAAGAGGAGAAGGGATTAAGAAGAAGAAACTGTCGGGAAAGAAAGGAAGGAAGGAAGGAAGGGGAACTAGACTGTACTAAACTCGTGAAGACTGGATCTCAAGATGAACTGCCGCAGGAGAGGAGGAGTATCTAGGAGCAGAGGAACGGGAGGAAGACGGAGGCAAGGAAATTTATCACCTCTTGTACTGATTTGCATCTTCACAGCTCCGTGGTCTTGTCGCCCTCTGTTATACACTTCTGTGACGCCATTTAAGTGACGCGTTTAGTGGATATTGTTACAGTGAAAAAAGGGAGGAAGTTTAAGTTATGGTAATTTAAAGAGAGTTTATTATATTAAAGGTTAATGTTATATAAAAGGGGGATTATTTTATCTATGGGTGGTAATCCTCTTAGTTCCTCTTCTCTTCTATCTCCTTCCTAATCCTCCCTCTTCCTCCTCTCCTCCTCTGCTTTTTTTCTTCTCCCACGTTCTCCTATTCTCTTCCTTCTTCTCCTAACCCAGCACTACCACCCTCCTAATCCACCATTCTCCTCCACCTAACACTCAGAGCTTAAGGCCCCCGCTGGCTCACGTCTTCTCCACTGAAAAATTAAGCGTCTTACATTAGGGCAATTGCTTCTCCTCTCAAGTATTTATGTGACTCTCTCGTTGACGAAGATCAGTGTCGAGAGGAGCAGTATCCCGACCACCTGAACACTTTTTGATAAGATTATTTGGGGGACTTGTAATTCTTAGTCTAATTCTTCCCTTCCTTTCCTGATCTTGCTGATTATGATTTTCTTGGGTGAGGGATGATTTTTTTTTGTGTTTAATATGTGCTATAATACGATTTGGGTGATGCCTTTAAACCTTGATATAAATCCAGTTATTACCTACAGTTACAGTAATAACCTTAACCTATATATAAACAGTTAAGGGCGATTAGTGTTTACCGTACCTGATAGTAATTAGCTAAAAAAATACAGGTATGATAACTCCGATGTAGTATCATAAAAAAACACACAGGTAGATATGAATAGAAAACACAACCAAAAACGTACTTTATCTCGTCACTTTCACTCAATGTCAATCCCAGAGTTCATTTCTCACTCTGTAACTTCATTTCTCACGTCAGCGGCAAGCGGAGGCGACGGCGGAAAAGTCACGCACAGACGGGGCATAAAAAATAAAAAAAAATCTTCAGCTTATGAGGATTCAGAGAAAATGGATTTCCAAAGTTAGATTTCATTCAATGTTGAAAGGATAGGATGAAGGAGGAGGAGGAGGAGGAGGAGGAGGAGGAGGAGGAGCTGTGAGAGTGTAGAACCCGCTGGCGTGGTACTGCTGCTGCTGTTGTTGGTGGTGGTAGTACTGGTGGCGTAGGTGGTGGTGGTATACACAGTGGTAGTGGAGGTGTTGGTAGTGGTGGTGTAGGTGTTGGTAGTGGTGATGTAGGTGATGGTAGTGGTGGTAGTGGTGGTGGTGTAGGTGTTGGTAGTGGTGGTAGTGGTGGTAGTGGTGGTAGTGGTGGTGTAGGTGTTGCAGGTAGTGTTGGTAGTGGTGGTAGTGGTGGTGTAGGTGTTGGTGGTGGTGGTGGTAGTGGTGGTGTAGTTGTTGGTAGTGTTGTTAGTGGTGGTAGTGTTGGTAGTGGTGGTAGTGGTGCAGGTAGTAGTGGTTGGGGGTAGAGGTGGGATTATTATTGTTGTTGTTGTTGTTAGTAATGGTGGCAGTGGTGTTAGTGTCTTGGCTGTGTGCGTGTAGCAGTGGTTATGTTGTGAATGTAGTATAGTGATTTTCTTTCTGTGTATACATGTTCACGCTCACTGACTCCCTGAGGTGAGTGCTTGAACCATGGAGGCTGTTGGGAGGAGGACGAAGACGAGGAGGAGGAGGAGGAGGAGAAGGAGGAGGATGAGAAAGAGGAAGAGGAGGAGAAAGAGGAGGAGGAGAAGGAGGGAAGAGGGTTGGTCTCCCTGAGGTCTGGTCATGTGATATGCATTGATAAATATGTGGGTGTCTTACTAAACTACCCCACCTGTGTCTCCTGAGGTGAGATTATGGAAGGAACGAGGTAGTGTGGTGAGGAAGCGTGGTAAAGTGACATTGTAGTGTAGAATGTCATGTTAAGATAGTGTATTTGGTTGCCATGGTTATTAGGGTAGTGTGGCGTTGTAAGATGGCGTGGTAGTGTGGCGTGGTAGTGTGATGTGGGAATGTGGCGTGGTAGCGTGGCGTGGGTCCCTCGTTAACAGGTGCGGCCAGGTGGAAGGGAGTGTGTTTGAGCAAGCCGACCTGACCCCTCTCACCCTGGTTCCTACCCATTATGGCTCGTAGGCTATACTCCCACTCACCCACCCCTCTCACTCACCCCTCACTCTCACCCCTCACTCTCACCCCTCACTCACCCTTCTCCCTTACCCTAACCCTCATATTTCTCGTTTCCCTGCCCTCTACCTTCTCCACCCTCATCCTTTTCCACATCCTCCCTCATCCTTTCACTCCCCTTCCTACTAACCCTTCCTTACGTCTCTCATTATCACTCCCTCTCCTAACCCCCTTTCTCTCCCTCAAGAGCTCCTGGTTGGGGGGGGGGGGAACTTGAGAAAACTTGAGAGAATGTGCGTGTGTGTGTGTAAGACCTCTCACGCCTAGCTCAACTAAATCTCACATGAACTGAGACACTCGTGTTTATGTCGCTACAAATGCCAAGTTATTCACATGTACCCGAGTGCTTGGTTGCGCCAGACAGTTCTATATTCTACATCTATATCCAGTCATCTAGCAATCATGAGTGAGTGAGTGAGTGAGTGAGTGAGTGAGTGAATAAGTGAGTGAGTGAGTGATTGAGTGAGTATGTGAGTGAGTGATTGAGTGAGTATGTGAGTGAGTGATTGAGTGAGTATGTGAGTGAGTGATTGAGTGAGTGAGTGAGTGACTAGCTTAATGATGATATTATTATTATTATTATTATTATTATTATTATCATTATTATTATTATTATTAATATTATTATTATTATTATTTTTATTATTATTAGCGTTCCAACTTTTAATATCAACCACACTGTTGAAGCCCAAAGGATCATTACACCCTGAACTAACAAGTAAACAACCATTTATTACACAGTAGTTCAGGTGACCAATTGTTATGATATCATATTGATATTACTGTATAAGGTATGATCGCTATTTTTCTCTCTCTTTCAATTAAACTTCGCTCCAGGTAACAAAATGTTGAGGGAAAAACCTGCCAGGATTTTTTCTTTTTAATTTGATGGAGTTGTCATGATTTTTTTTCTTCTCTTTTTTGCGTCAATTGTTTTTATATTCCATAGAAATACACAGTAGAGTTAAATCCCCGTCCTTAAACAAAACAAGGAAAAAAAGGAAAAGTTTGTAAATTCTACCATTAAAAAAATACGCTCCATGGAATTTTATAATGAAATTTACAGTGAGCAAAAACACATACGTGATCTCTCTCTCTTTTTTCTCCTCTCCCTTATATATATATATATATATATATATATATATATATATATATATATATATATATATATATATATATATATATATATATATATATATATATATATATATATATATATAATTGCTATTTTTGTTCATGACCAGTATAGCAAAAATTATCAGCCGTTTAGAATTAATACATAATTTTTATGTTAATATACTAATAAATAGCTGAACTGCACACCTAGAGATACAACCACTTGGCTCTATGTTAATTAATCTTTATCAGGTAACAATATTCACGAGCTGTGGCCATGAGGGGCATGAGCAGACAATGGTTGAAGTAGTTAGTCTGTCAGTCAGTCAGGCAACCAGTCAGTCAGTCAGTCAGTCAGTCAATCAGTCAGTCAGTCAGTCAGTCAATCAGTCAATCAGTCAGTCAGTCAGTCAGTTAGTCAGTCAGTCAATGAGTCAGTCAATCAGTCAGTCAGTCAGTCAGTCAGTCAATCAGTCAGTCAATCAGTCAGTCAGTCAGTCAGTCAGGTCTAGTATATATAAAGCTGACTGCTGCAGCTAAACCCGAGATGGAGAATGTAACACACACACACACACACAAATTGCTCGAAGCTGGTTTATTGTTAATTAATTAAACGCTTATTGAGAAATATTACACAACAATAAATATTAATATAGTTTTTGTTTGTTGCAACAGTCTGTCACTGTCATACCGTGTCCTTAGTCGACAAATAGGAAAATAAACTTATCTTTCTAATTAATGTTAAGGTGACTATTTCTGTTCCACGTAATATAGCAAGATGACTATTTCTATTCCATAATGAGAGAAAAATACTATTTCTATTACACAATATTATGGGATCCAAAACTATTACCAGGGTGTTTAAAAAAAGAAAAGGTGTTCATTATAAGGAAAATACACATAACTCAACACAACACGCCAACCAAACTCAGATAACAGGGACACTAACGCTCTGGCTCCGGGTGTAATGTTTAAATGTAATTATATACTTGTCCTGAAATATAATACCAAATTACATTAATTACATTATGTTATCATATCACATTTTTTTACTGACAGGAACTCCGGTTAATGTGTGTGTGTGTGTGTGTGTGTGTGTTTATTCTCAATCATTAACTATTATTATGTTTTGCATTTACAGATCGTGTGGTATCGGATGGAAGCATGACCTCATCCACAAATGGGGTTCTCCTACTCCCTAGATACCCGCTTAACCCGCACCCACAACCTCAGATATCTCAACAGCTCCTCACATCACCACAACCACTACAACCTAAATCACCACCGCAATCACAGCAAATTCCACACACTCGAACGTATCCTGAAAGTTGGTCGGTATACAGGACACACACACAGCAACCAATGCCACTGCAGCCACAAAAACCACCACAACCTCCACCACAACTTACCCACAGTCCTCCTAAACAGACGTCACCACAGCAACAACCACAGCTACCTTCACAGCCTATAGACCATCTCCACAGCGCCCTAGTACCCCCACCGCAGGAAGCACAGAGGCGGCACCAACAACTGACGCAGCCACGGCAGTACGGTCCAAGGTAAGTTCCCAGGTTGATTAAAATACAGGGGGAGATTTGCGTCGCCCGCGGCTCAGGTGATAACAGCACCTTTACCTGGGGAGAGAAATTGAAGGTGTAGATTCGTATTATTTCTAACAACATCACATACAGCGTACATACAGGTGACTGACTAAAGGACCCCAGTCTAGTGCATACAGGTAACTGGGCAGATTGGCTCCAGTCTAGTATATGCAGGTGACTGGATATACCATTAAGATCCGGAGCCCAGTCTAAACGGGGCATAGCTCGAATAGGTTAGATTAGGTTGGATTAGTTTAAGTTAGGTCAGGGTAAGTTAAGCTCAGTTGGTTTAGATTAGAGTGGGTTGGTTAAGGTAAAATTTAAGTTAGTTAAGGCAGGGTTAGTTAAAGCATGGGGTATTTGACCAATAAGTCCTACACACACACACACACACACACACACACACACACACTCACACACACACACACACACACACACACACACACATGTACGTTGACAAAACATACACCCATTCACTGTGTCCATTTGTATTATATCGTCACTGTAAAGAAGAAAAAAAAAACAGCAACGTAAATGCATTTGAGCCATCAAGCGGTGGGAGCCGCTCGTGTCATAAACGTGTATAAAGATCTGTGATGGAAGGGGATAAATGGTGTTGTCAGAGATTGGTTTTGCCGCTGGCGTTGAATATAGATATTCTGACACACGGGGGAGGGGGGAAGGGAGGGTAATGGCCAGGACTAACACTGTGATTTTGTTTGCTTTTGTCGTGCTTAACGCTGGGAATCTTTTGTTGCTGTGTTGGTGGTGATAAATGTTGTGATTGTATTGTTGTTGCTGCGGTTATTAATGCTGTGATTATGCTGACTATCACCGTGATTTTTCTCCCTACTGTTACTTCATATACGTGAACTAATCTTATTTTAGGCCTCATAAAATCACTTAATAATACAGTAGTTAACATATTCATCACAATTACTATATTTACGGGTTTATATTATAAGAATAAAGCTGTTTCTTACTGCCTTCAATAGTTCAATCTTGCTAAAATCTAATGCTGTTCAAAGATGGTTTATGTCAATACTCTAATGCACTGAAGCCATAGATTACTTGCTCTCTCTTACGTAAATTCAAAGTCATGTTTCTTGTTCCCTGGCAGATTTGGATTCCACGTATTAAATCAAATGGCTTTACTCAAAACCTCGATGAAAACTTTTTATTTTTTAATCCACATTCATACTAGATTTAAAGTTTTTTTCTTAATCTAAGTCAACATGGTGTTAAAGTTGTCTCTGTTTTACGTCTTAAGTTGGACTGTGTTTGTATTTAAATATTAAGTACGTGGGTTAAGTGTCATTGTTATTTTGTATATTAGGAAATTATTTTATTTAGACCCCTATGGCTTATCACATTAAACAAAAACATGCAGTTGAAGAGAAAAACAAATATTGGAGAGAAATAATAAGACTACAGTATAACAGGCTCTAAAAACGATATGTGATACCTCGTAAGCCACAAGTTCGTTTTATAATACTGGAACAAAAGACAAGTGATGTCTGAGAACAGTGACGTTTAATATATAATTTTCTTAAATTTTTGGCACATGATTCGTAATAAATAGAAAATGATAAACAACTTTTTATCTGTAACAAAAACTCATAAATACAGTAATAAGTAAAGTACACTAATACCCATCACCTGTAGTAAAGTAAACTAGTACCCATCACCTGTAGTAAAGTAAACTAGTACCAATCACCTGTAGTAAAGTAAACTAGCACCCATCACCTGTAGTAAAGTAAACTAGTACCCATCACCTGTAGTAAAGTAAACTAGTACCCATCACCTGTAGTAAAGTAAACTAGCACCCATCACCTGTAGTAAAGTAAACTAGTACCCATCACCTGTAGTAAAGTAAACTAGTACCCATCACCTGTAGTAAAGTAAACTAGTACCCATCACCTGTAGTAAAGTAAACTAGTACCCATCACCTGTAGTAAAGTAAACTAGTACCCATCACCTGTAGTAAAGTAAACTAGTACCCATCACCTGTAGTAAAGTAAACTAGTACCCATCACCTGTAGTAAAGTAAACTAGTACCCATCACCTGTAGTAAGTAAAGTAAACTAGTACCAATCACCTGTAGTAAGTAAAGTAAACTAGTACCAATCACCTGTAGTAAAGTAAACTAGTACCCATCACCTGTAGTAAAGTAAACTAGTACCCATCACCTGTAGTAAGTAAAGTAAACTAGTACCAATCACCTGTAGTAAGTAAAGTAAACTAGTACCAATCACCTGTAGTAAGTAAAGTAAACTAGTGCCAATCACCTTTACCAAATATCTTAATGAAGCAACATAAACCTTGTTGTGTTATCAGTCACCATTGGCAGCCTTGACGTGGCCACTACACCTGATTTGGGAAGGTGGGAAGGTTACGTCTCTGAGTCTAGTACCAAGAACCTTTTTAACCTTTAGAGTACATGTGTATATTGAGTACCAGGATCTGATAACCACTCACTTACACCTCTGTATTCATCATTCACTGTCTCTAGGTACTGACAGCACACACTAAGGTTGAAGTCTTACTGTTTGCTATGTCATTCTTCTTTCTTTCATTCATTCTTTTCGTCTATGTCCGCTTCTCTCTCTCTCTCTCTCTCTCTCTCTCTCTCTCTCTCTCTCTCTCGCCAATCACCAAATGTTCCTCCCTCACTGGCAGCATCATCAAGCGGGAGGGAGATGCAGCATCAGGCGGGCGGGAGATGCAGCATCACGCGCGCTAAAGTGCATAAAAAAATACATTCCCATCTCAAATGTCTCTGATGAACCGCAGTGAAAAGTCTCGCTCGAAAAATTTAGAATAAGGATTTCTCTACTGTGTCTGTCAGCCTAAATGTCTGTGTGTCAGCCTTAATGTCTGTCTGTCAGCCTGAATGTCTGTCTGTCAGCCTGACTGTCTGTCATTCTGACATCCCATGTTACTGTAGTAAAAGCAATTATTCGAAACACTGAACTGTATATAGGATGTGGCATATATGCAAGGCGTTAGGATATGTATGTATGTATGTATGTATGTATGTATGTATGTAACACACACACACACACACACACATGTACCATTGATGGAGGGGCTTTGACTGGTTATTCGTCAGAGAGGCAAAAATTCTAGGACCGCGCCGTCAAGTTTTTGCACAACATTGATTGCCATTGATTTTGCCAGACTAGTGGGAAATCCTGAGCTCTCACCCTGCCGGCCTGGACCCCTGCTGTTGTGACAGAAGGTCAGTGGTTGAGTAATTGACGTCGTCCCTTTGTTACCGCATTAATCAGTATTACAATCACATATATTATTCAGACGCATAAGCTTACGAACGGATTTATGAACACAGTGTAAGTACAGGTAGTGACAGGTGGATGATGATGGTAATAAAGGGTGTTGAAGAATATGGATGCTGTTGTTTCGTTTATATTTGATGCTTTGTTGTGCAGGGGAAGCATCAGAGCAGAACATATTTATAACAACAGCAGAGAATTAATGAATGGTAGTGAGTGAAGGGCGAGCCTGACGTACGTGTGTGTGTGTGTGTGTCCGCCTACAGTACGTTAGGGTAGGGGAAAATTGTATGAAATAAAAATAATGTGAAATATTATCAGGAATTATATAGAGTTATCATATTTATAATCTCTCTGACGCGGCGAGAAAAACATTTAAACAATCCTGACGCGTCAAAACACGGAAGGGTGCGGCGGGCAAGTGGATACAGCACTCATTTCTAGCCTATAAAAATACCTGGTTCGCACTCGGGGAACTCTTAGTCCACCCAGTTGTAAAAGGTACCTAAGTTTCAGTCTTGGTGTAAGAGAGTATAAATAACAGGTATTGTTTAGAAATATTACACCTTGTTGCCCACTAAAGTAATTTGTTAAAAATATGGCCATTTTTACCGATCAGGAGGGAAGCACCAATTCAAAAGGCTCTCGTTCGGAGAGTTATGACGACTAAAGAAAAATAAGTGTATACATTTACCCAACGTTCATTAATGAGGACACCATTAATCACTCATGGGTAATAAACCTTCATCCCGCAGGTGGTGAGGTAGTAGTCTGCCCATCCCTCGCACAACAGCATTTGTACACTACATCGATGTGTAGCTGTTACGTATTTACACACTAAAGCCGATGTATACTGTATGAGGGGGGATAGAGGTGGGTAGAATATTTATAGGTAAAATTGTGGGTGGGAGGAAGGCAAAGACTACTATAGATGAATTAAATTAGAAATTGTGGTCCCGGATGGATGTAAAATTTAGAAGAATTGGTGAATATAGTCCTTGGAAAGCTTTGGAGCGGAGGGCTATGGTCGCCAACCCTCAGACACCTTGACTGATTAATTGACAAGTGAATGATCTTTTTGTTTCAGTGTCTGTTGATGATTATAAGAAACTATAACACAAGGAATGGTAAAAATGTGAGGGTATTCAAATCTAATTAATATTTTCCAAGATCAAATATTTTCCTTCGTGTAATAAAGGGTTTTAATGTAGCTTCCACACCTGAATTGCGTTGGCTTACAGGACAAAGAGGTTCTAATTCTAACAAGTTCCAACCTAAACAAACCCAACCATTAAAAAATTAAGGTCCATTTGGTTTGAGGTCCATTAAGACTAAAGGTCATTATGGGAGTGAGTCTAATAGGAATAAGGCCAATTTGAACTGGGGTATATTATTTAACCGGGCCAATTAGGATTGAGGTCTACTAAAACAGGAACTTAATAGGACCGGGAACCATATAACTAGTCGTCGTCGTCGTCACAGCATAATGACCAGATGGAGACTCGTGTTTGTATAGTGAGTGAGTAATTGACCTCGCCTGACCATCCTTCCTACTACCTCCACACAACCACTACCTACTTCCTGCTTTTACCTCCCTCCCCCCCCACCCTCCTCTTCCTCCTCTTCCTCCTCCTTCCTGCCCCACTCTTCCTCCTCTTCTCCACA